GGCCTCGGCATCGTTGTGCAGTTCCGTGAGCTCACGCAGCACAAGCGGCGCGAGGGTCAGCAGGCGACGTACGCGATCCCCGAGACGCCCAAGCACGGCGACCCGATCCGCCACGTCTAAGACGACAGCATCCTCACCTTATCGACACCTATTTCAGAACTAAAATAACTAACGACTATTTCGCCATGAACAATATATTTTGGATATGATCAGGTCATGTGTCGTCGCCGCGGCGCCTTGTATAACCTGTTGTTGAAATGAGTTATTAGCATGCAATTATGATGGGCCGAGACGCCCGCGATGAGTGCGGAGAGAACGATAAGACGACCCGCCATGACAAGCAAGTGAGTGCGCGCGGACGGGTAAAAGGCAAACTGCTACATGTGCGCTGGCTACTCTACGTATGATCGATACATCTCGGATCGAGTTGCACATAGTCTGGCTATGTGGACCATGGAACGTCCGGATGGCACCGCAAAATGAGCGCGCGCCGTGAGAACGCGCGCGGCGCATGCAATTGTATTCTATTTGCTACAAACATTTATATATTTTTATATTCGATGAATCAGATGGTTACACTGCTTCGAAACCGGTTGATCCAGACAGGCAGACACGGGCTTCGAGACGAAACAAAACTCCTTTGCCGGCAGATCCACCGCGCCTAGGGCTAGTACACTAGCATGACGCTTGCGTACGAGTGGGATGCAGTGTATAGAAGCGCCATTGGAGTTGTTCGTGCCTCCTCGAAAAGGCCGGGGACCTGCATACGTCGGTGATCGTGATCGTTGGAAAATGAATTCAAGACACGTGCTTTCCGTGCGCCATGCAGAGTGGTCGAACGCAGCGCGGCGGTCCCACAGATCCGGAAGCGCCGACTGTCGCCTGTAAGTGCTGAATGGTCGATGAGTGGTTGAGCGTGGGCTCTGCTACCATGGACCGCGTTATCTTGGGCCAAGCAGCAAGATACTGTGTCGACAGCCGAATTAGTTTGTGTTCTGCTTGCAGGGGCCGTATTAGTCTCTCTATCGCAGGAACTGCGCTATCAAGGCGACCATTCAGGTCCATCCAGCTCTTCGGTCTGAGACGAAGGCACCACCGAACACGTCGGCGTAACTGCGCATCGAGCGATCGCATTTGGTATATCGATGTAGCAGAACTCAGCTTTGACTGTGAAGACTGGAGCAGCACCAAACAAAAGTCGAATACAAAGCATGAAGAAAGAATAGTCGTTAGTTATTTTAGTTCTGAAATAGGTGTCGATAAGGTGAGGATGCTGTCGTCTTAGACGTGGCGGATCGGGTCGCCGTGCTTGGGCGTCTCGGGGATCGCGTACGTCGCCTGCTGACCCTCGCGCCGCTTGTGCTGCGTGAGCTCACGGAACTGCACAACGATGCCGAGGCCGCACAGCACGATCGTCGCCGCGAGGTAGTACCACCACGAGCTCGGGATGTCGTAGACCCAGTCGCCACCCGCCGAGACAGTCGCCTTGAGGTTGCCGGCGTTCGGGT